GTTTTGGTCTCCACCAGCTCCAGAGGGAAACATCTGGCTTTACAGCTGCCAACTGCTCCACAGTGTTTCCTGGCCAGTCGTCACATTTCTCTGTCTGGAGTTTATGCAGGGGAGGAGATGTACGGTGGATTTTTTGAGCTGTGTTGCTAAAAACAGTTGATGAAAGAAGAGATATTCCCTCCACTTCTCTTTTTAATGAACATTTCATATAAGGATGACTCACTGATGGATTCGAGTGCAGCAGCCCACCTACGATCTTTGGATTAAATCCCACCACAACGTTCTGTCCTGTCTCTCCTCTGCTTCAGCACTGCCTCGGCTTTCCAATCCGCTTTACAGAATAAGAAAAAGAATAAGAAACGTCTACAACCTGAATGTGCTGCCAACTTTCCCTCTAAAAACATGCCAACAGAGGCCTCTGAAATTTCCATATTAATTCCAAGTTCTCTTTTAGTCTTTGCAGAATTAGTCTTTGGCCCAGACGTCCAACCATAAGTCTTAACGTAAGTCTTCCATAAAGCCTGCAGGTATGCATTGTGATCTGCAGACATGGGATGCACAGGAGGAAACCCGCAGTAATGAGCAGAAAAACAGGAAAGTGTGACAAAGGGGTGAAAAGCCTCATGTCAGGCATGATGGGGGCGAACCTGCTGTTCCATGAGATCAGTTTAGCAGCTGCTTCCTGTCTGAGGGGTGTGGCTGAGCGTTATGTAACCGATCTGACATTTTCAGAAGTGAGAGTGGGCAGCTCACGTGGCTTCAGTGCTTCTCTGTGCATCGGATGCCGCAGAAAGAGCAGGAGGGTTCAACAGATGAAGCTTCGTGCAAAGGACGAGATGTAACGAAGGCTTCCATCTGATTTCAGGATAAGACTCCGGCCTGCGTGTTTTCAGGTTGTCCCTCGACCGTTCCCTTCTTGTGAACACAATATCTCAACAATGCCCTGAGATAACTTTTTCAAGTGTGATGCAAATATCTGGTTTAACTCAAAGATGAACTGATTAGATTTTGGTGGTCAGAGGTCAAAGGTCATGGTGACCTCCTGTGTCTGTACTGGTTGGTGAGGTAAACAACCACAGGGAGGTGACTGCAGTTTTCATCTGCCCTTTGTTTTTTTCTGCGTCAACACGTCCACGACATGTTTTGGCTTCGTCAACCGTCGCTGAGCCAAAAAAACATTTACCCTTATCTTATCCTCTCTGACTTTGCCACAGTCTGTTGTTACAGATATCTGTGCGGAGGAGAGCTCCCTTTACAAAAGCATGATAAAACTCCCTTCATTGTGGGTTGGGCTGGTCCTGAGGGAGCGGTGGGAGAGAGGAAGGGGGAGAGAGGATCCAGAGTGTTGGAGACGGGAGACAGGAGGGAGGGTCCTGGCTTCAGGCCCGGACAGCCGCAGCTCGCCATGGTTTCATGTCTGTTGTCGAAACAGCAGCAGACGACCCACCTGAGTGATTCTTCATGTTTGGTACCATGAGAGAGAGTCTGGGCCGTCGGGGTAACAAGGAGGTTCTGGGGTTCTTCTTTTGTTTTGAAATGTTCTGCACGATATCTTCCTTACATTGTACATACAGGTCCATCTGGCTGTGTGGGTTCAAAATGAGCCTGAGCACCTCAAGGGAGGATGTTGTGAGCGGAGGGAGGAGGAGGCTGACGGGCTGTTCTGTTATTAAACTCTCTCTCTCTGCCCCTCTCTCCTATCACTGGCTCTCTATAGATAATCACCACACGGGACAAGTAAGGAGTTTTTATTGAGACGAAATGGAAAAACCATCGGGGGCAGTGGAAGGATGTGGGATTGTCACCGTGAAGAGGAGGAGAACGGTGGATCACAGGGTCTGATTGAACTTTACTGTGAAACCAGGTCCCGTCAGATGTTAATGCTGAATTAGATGCTTGTCTGGATCGAGGAGCTATTGGAAAAAAATCAAAATCATAACTCCAACGCGAGTTTCCCTTTGATTGTCTAGTCTATATTATCACTGCAGATTATTCAAATCCAATTAGCACGAAGGCGCCTCGATAATTCATTCAGGCTCTGGAACAGAGCAGGGACTGTCCCAAGGTTTTCATGAGCCACTCGGTCCCTTTGTTGTTGATCAAGAAAATCAGCTGCTTGTAGACCAGTGTTTTTTTATTCAGTTTATATCTCTAATTAAAAAATATCAGAATCTAAATCTGGTGACAGATGATGTCAGTCAAATCTGATTAAATCACAACTTCACTGTCCAGAGTTTTTGTGTTTTGCTGCAGTCACATCTTTTCAAATGGTTAAATGACTGTATTTATGAATATTTATATATATATATATATATCATTTAATGCTATAAAAACATTAACAAACACCCTGATTGACAGTTTAGACTGCATCACGATTGTCTGGCTCCAAATGACATCACCAGGGTGAGATGGCAGTGATCGTACACGGGATATTTTGGCTTCATTTTTGTACGACAGGAGGAAGTGGAGATAGTCCATCTTTATTTACAGTCTCTGGACTCATCTGTGTATAAATATAATTTAGTTCATTAATTGATTAGTTATTGAGAGTCATTTTTTAAAAGACAAACATTTTGTGCCAGTTCCTCCCATAAATATTTGTTGCTTTCCTCAGTGTTTCATGGCCATAAACTCACGTCACCTCAGACTCTTGGAAAACTGGAGCACATGTTTCACCATTGTTGACCTTTTATGAACCAAGAAATTACCAGAAGTTGAATCAACAATGAAATAAATCATTATTTTAAACCCTATAAAAACTAGAATCTAAAATTGACAAAGGCAGGAAAGGATCTTTTTGCATTCAGCACAGAAACCAGGAGCAAAGCAGACCTGACTGAAGCTGTGAACTCTGTAATCCTGGGGCCCACGCGTCCTGCAGGTGGTAACAAACTGTGCTCTCTGTTAAGTCCTGCGTGTCTAATTTTATCTCCGACAGATGGTTTCATTCGGCGGTCTCCATCACAAGGCCGCAGTCAGTCAGAGGTGTGTGTGGGTCTGTCGTCACCGGACTGAGAACAATAAAGAATTCACATGTAGGCGGCCGGCGTGGCTCCACTTAATGACATCAGCTTGGTATCCAGGCAAACACAGTTTCACAAGCGCGATACAAACGGTAGAAAGACGTCTCCATTGACGTTATTGAAAGCGGTGATTCATATTTAGATTTTTGTGACTGAATTAGTGACAGCGTGCAACTGTGCAGCCTGCGTGTGTGAGCAGTAATGCTACCGTAACTGTAGTGGAGTGAAACTGTCAAAAAAAGTGATGTAAGACTGAAACCATGCTGCAGAGTGAAGTCTTTCTTCCTCCTGTCAGTCACCATGTTTGAACAGGACGGAGGACAGAGAACCGGTGTCTCTCTACCCTCTCTACAGTGCATGTGGCTTGATAGACCTCCAGAAAATAACAGGAAGGCCTCACAACAATATCATCTAAATGCATTATGTTCCATTATCTCAAAAACCAGCTGTGGTAAGTTTGTGAGAAGGATAACACTATATTTAATGGGTCCATTACTGTCTTAATAGCTTCCTAATAAAGATATGACTGTAAATTCCTGGGTGAGGACGTCATTTTCTAGGATTTACAAGGAACATGAAGACTGTGTTTAATTTATAGACTTCCAGTAACTTTATTCCCACGCACTGCTTTATTGAGACAGTTCTTTAAATAATTCAACTAATATAGACCACACATCTTTCAATTTTGCAGAGGGGTGGAGCATTATCCAAAGAAGAACCTTTTGGTGCCGATCCAGATCAGAGGGCACATCCAAGAAAAACTTTCACTTCACAGGTTTTATATGGTTTTAAAGAAACCAGGGAAACACAAACAAATACACAAAACATGCTAATATAATAAAAAATCATGAAAGGAAAAAGTTCACCCGACAAGGTCACCGGCCCCTTCAGGACAAATCTGCAAAAGGTCCTTGAGGTTTATTGAAAGTGACGAAGCCTCTTTAACCGATTTCCTTTGCAACTCAAAATATACGAACTTTTAATATTCGAAAACAGGTTTATAACATACTTATATAGTTGTAAACCCGAAGTGGATGCTGGTATAAACACAAAGGATGACAAAATCATAAAACACGGCCGTAATAAAATGAAACATGTCTTCAGGGGAATTCTTTATAGCTCCACGGTGTGTTTATAAACCATTTACTGAATGTTGTATTTAAGATACTGTTTATATCCTCAACAGGGAAACCTGATGTTTTTGTGTTGCATCATAAATCACACTGTGTAACACGTCTGACCTGAGAGTGACCTACTTAGCAGCTCACTCTGCTGCTGCGATGACATTTAAGACTCACTGCTTTAAATATTCACTTTACTACAACGACACAATCATTTCCCCTGGTTTCACTGGAGGCCTCCGAGTACCGCACCTGCTTTACACAGTATTTAGAGTTATACATCGTAGGAGTGAACTCAGGACCAGACAATTAACCTTCATTGTAGCTGCGTTGATGCTGAGTTGGTTGATGTTCAAAGCTTAAAACGTACTTTTGTTGTACCACATTCCCTGATTCTCCCTCATTCTAGTTTCTTTTGTGGTAATGTGTAATACTTATCCGCTCCAATGTAGTTACACGTTTAGTATTTGTGTTTTTTGGTTTTTAATTTTACATTTTTTTATTTGCAAAGCAATTTGTAACTTGGTTTTGAGCAGTGCTGTACAAATGAAGATATTATTAAATCGTTATAATTACTGAGTCCCATTAAATTCAATCACACTAGATATCAGTCCTTTAAGGTCACCTGCTGTTTGCATTATTTCTTGAGGATTTCCCAAATTAGCGAAAAGGAATCTAAAGAAAGTTTTAAATCCGCTCCATAAAGATAGTGGCTTCCTCGTCTGCCTTCCCCCCCACCCGTCCATCTAGTTCCAATAAAATCAGCTCTGTAGTTTTCCCGTAATCCTGCAAACAGACGCACAAACAAAAACCTCCTCAGCAGAGGTAACGATGATTCAACAACAAAACCACAAACTCTCACCACACATTTTTTTAATTGCATTTTATAAACAGAGGAGTCCATACTTTGTCAAACAGTAACTGTGGTAACACAGATCTTCTTTCTGAAATATTTATTTGAGGGATTAAACAGACGAATGCAGCAGGGCTGAAGTGCAGCGTTCTAAACAGTGAGCCCTGCGGCGTCTACAAAGCCCCACGATGCACAACAGGCAACAAACAAGCACGGTAACAGTCGTACAATAATACTATGAGTGCACATTCTTACAGAATGACTTGTCTGCGGTGATCGTCTGTTACTACGAGCTAAAGCTACGGTTGCTGCTAATGGCAAAAAAAAAAAAAAAAACTAGAATACTTCAAATAGCACGTCATCTCTTGGAAAACAACAGCAGGGTTATTCATTTGAAAATAACAATAAAAATCTTGATCGTAGAGAATTATACAGCTTACATCACCTCATTTAAACTCCGTCATGATCAGTCCTATAAAGGGTAGTAGTACAGTGGCTAAGGTAATTTAAAGGACTTGAGTTAATGCAATAAATACATGATTATCCCCCGACCCATTCTGCCTCGCTTTAAAAATAGCATTATAAAAAACAGCTGGGCCAAAATATTTCTGTTATTTATTAGCGCAGCAAATTTCCTAATCCAGATTCGGCCATAAAACTGGTTATTAACCTGATCAGAAGAACGTGTCAGTACAGCCTCATGATGCAGAAAGTCGTGTGTCTCAGAGATCCTTAATATGTTTTTGTTTTAAACAAAAAAGGAATGTTGTCAGGCAGCCAAACTGTAAATGTGGCATTTGTTAAGTTTCTTTTTTTTTTGTGTTTTTGTACTGGTAGCGTGCTCCTCCTGAGCACCACCTGTGCAAGCACCAGCTTCCAAGTGTAAATCCTCTGGAGGTCAGCACGGTGCACCTGTCCACACCTGAGATTCACTTTCTGTCCGATCGCTTTTTTAAACATACGTCACGTCAACACATCCTCAAACTGTTCTCCTGGTGCAGAACTGAACTGTAAGACTGTGTTGTTTTTACAGTAGTGACACCCAAAGTGTATAAATGTGTAAACATGGCAGAAAAACTGGTGGAACTTCTGAGTCAACTGTGGGAATGCTGGATGTGGTGGTGCTGATGGAGCAAATACAATTCATTTCACATGTCTAACCAGCATTTGTAACATATGAACCACGTGACCCGGGAATGCTGGGAGCGGGTCGGCATACAGGGGAAGACGGGAGAAGAGAAGGCTGGTCGTCTCAGGTATGAACGCAGAGGTGGGGAAGAGAAGAAGAAGCTACAAATAATACTGTGTCTGATGGTCAGTGTTGTGTAGAGAAGAGGGATGAGGCTGAGGGGAGACAAAGGTTCAAGGCTGGGTCACGGCACTGGGCTCCTTGTCATAGATGTAGCTGCCCACACCGCCAGTGTTCACGCCTGGAAAAACCACAGGGACAGCAGCAGGTGTCAGGGGTTGAGAGAAGAGGACAAGAGGAGGCACAACAAGAGCAGGAGAGGCTGCAGAGCGAGTCCTGGAACAAATCTTCTCAAAGCTCAACAAGCTGCACACAGTGTTAATGAAACAACTGCTGAGGAACATTTATTTTGTGCAGCTAGCATCAAGTGCTCACACACACACACGCACGACTTTCTGTTTCAAGTGTAGCTGATAATTGGTGGGTGGACAGCACCCCCTAGCGGTTACCTTTGGGCCCGAAGAGAACAGCATAGCATGGTTTGTGGCAGTAGGGCTGGCCGTCATGCTGGAATAAAAGAAAAAGAATATGCTGAAAACATGAACACGATCACAGGTTGATGTTTATGTGACATAAAAGACTTGATTTAACAGGCGACATGATGAACACAGAGGAATCTATTACTTTGTAGAACCCAGTGAAAATAAAATGTATTTGGATTTCTGACTTAAATGCCTCTAAATATCACAGATTTCAGTAATTTTGTATAAAAGATAATTAGGGGCTGATTAATATCATTATCATTTGATTAAAGGTTCTTTGTTTTCTTTTGTCTGTTTATTATTTTTGTGCATATTTTTTGGTGTTTTGATGCTGATGGCACATTTTTATAATTTAATTTCAAGATCATTCAACTTAGATTGAGCCATACACTTTAAATAAAGACGGACGATGAGTCTCCACTTCCTCCCGTTATCCAGAAAATGAAGCCTTCCTTTGTCTTTTGTGTCTGTTTCCCTTTACTTGTATTTGTCTTTTGTCCTTTTCAGTATTTCACACTTTCTACTTTTCTCTTCTTCCCTCCTCATCACTGCCTCTTCTCTCACCTCTGCGTGGCTGCCAGCAGAAAGAGTCTTGCTGCACCTCTCACAGCGCAGACAGGGTCGATGCCAGTCCTTGCCCAGCGATGTCACCTTCTCAGCTATTGTGACACACACGCACAAGCACACACACACACACGTGAGACACCATGGCAACCACTTTGCGGGTTCACACCTATTACTGCAACCTCTTTTCTTCACAGGCGTTTCCACTGAGTGTGGAGCTACTCACCGAAATACACCTTCTTGTTGCATCGGGGACACAGGTTGGCCTCTCCGGAGAAAGTGGTGATGCCGCCAGCTGCTGAAACATTACACACACATTCTAATACTGGAGAAGCTGGAGGAAGCGGAATGATCAGTATGATCCAGTGAGGTGTGAAATCCACTGTACTAATAACACGAATGAAAAATGTGCTTTTATATATGTGAAGAGGGAAGACGACTTTAAATTTGCTGGTTTCCAAATTAAATCACTTCTCTCACTCCGTCTTTCTGAAGACGATCATGGCACTATGTTTGATTACTTGCAGTTCCGTCCTGGGACCTGCAGGTGGAGCCGAAACGTAACGACTGGTTCACTCCAACAAACCAAGAGAGTGGAAAACAGTCACTAAGTGAAAACTGCACGGCAGAGAGCAAGTCAAAGAAAATAGTTTGTGAGATTTTCTTGTTGCTGACACTGTGTGTGTCCTGGGGAATCCTAATCTATCAGAATGAGAAACCTCCCCCTCAGTTCCCATGAGACTGTTCGTATTGATGTTCTTATCACGGAGTCAGCAGCAGCTTCCCTTTTTGCTGAAAACACCCAAATGTTAAAGGGAAAACTCCGCGACAGCAGCTTGTTCACATCAACACTTGCTGATAAAGCCACAAAGCGAAGTACGTGCGACGTGACAACACAAGCACGTCTGTCTCTTACCTTTCGACGGTGCCTTTGGTGCAAACACTCGCTTCTCCTCAGCTTTGGGGACTGAATCCCCGGCAGAAGGGTTGTTGTTGGCTGGAGTGTCGTACACATAAGAGCCGGCTCCACCGATGTTCACACCTTAGACAGAATCCAGAGAAAAAACAAAACTTATGAGTGTTGATGCATTAAAATCTACACTTCAACTGACTCTGCTGATGTCTGGAAAGTTTAAAAACAATATTACAAGTCGAATTGATTTAAGTGAATAAATAGATGGATGCATGAACACTGAAAAGAAATGTTTCGTAAATAACTAAGGCCTAAATAGATATTTAATGACCAGTGAATTAATTTGCAGAAATATGTGTAAATGTATATATATTTATATACTTGTACATTTTTTTTCTATTATGGAATAAATTATGTCTTTAATCAATGTTTTTATTTTGTGGGCATTTGCGTTGTAAGTTTTGGTCGATTAGGTTTGAAGCAGTGTAATCTCAATATTTTTTACCTCATTAAGTTCAGATGAGTGAATTGAACCTTTTGACCTGTAATTATTTATTTTTTTTGTACTTTTTTCCTCTTAACCTGTTACACATGACACAAAAACAGAGTATTTGTGGAACAAGAAGAAGATGTAATTCACCTTTGGGCCCAAAGAGAGCAGCGTAGCACGGTTTGTGGCAGTAGGGCCTTCCATCGTGCTGCAGAAGAAACACCATGACACACAGATTAAAAAAACTCAAAGGATTAAAAGGGAAAAAAAATCCTGTTGACGCACATAAGAAAATTGAACCATAACGTCCACGAGAAATCGTATTTCACACATTTTTCTGACATATTTTTAAGTGATGGTCTATTTTTAAGCAGATGGAAGGAAAAAAAAACGCGTCTAAAAACGGAAACAAGTTTTTCCAGCTCACGGCTGCTTGATGATGATGTCACTGTCACTAGTTGCTCCAACACATAATAATGACACCATCTGTATCTAAGAAACGGGTCCGTGTTGATGAATTCATCGCCACGCGTCAGTGCAGCCTACATGACTCTCTGCCACTTGAACAGGAAGAGAAAGAAAATCCTGTCTAAGACATAGATGGCCTGCTGCTGGTGCATGCTGGGAATGTGGCGGTCACTGGTAATGACCCAGCTTGGGTGAGGGATCAGGGCTGAGTTCCAGTGTGGCTACTGGTCCAGAGCCCGATGCCCATACATGAGAGGAAGCAGGGCGAGGTGCCAGGCCCTGGGTGGTGAGGGGAAAAAAGTGGGCGCTAAACAAGAGCCACTTCTGCTGCGGCCACATGAGCTCCTCCTCCTCCTCCTCCTCAGACGACGGCGCGGTGGTAAGAAGGATTGTTCTCCGGCCTTTAATAATGCATCGAGTGTGACGGGACCAGCTACTGTTAAAGCAGCCGCACACTCCCCTCAAACGACCCTGGTGGACATTTTTGAGATCCATGACGGTTTGACGGCAGACGCCAAGAAGCTGATGACTTTCTCAGGACAGGACACACAGAGCTTCATTGTGGAGAGAAGCGTCTCGTCCGTGCTGCTGTACAGCATCACTGAGGCTTTGGCTGAGAAACGTAAAGAGGCGGTCAGACCTTAAAAATGGATTAACCATCGCTGCTGCACAGCCCACTCTGTTCCCAGCATTAAACTTCCCACATCCTGACACTGATACCTCTTCTCCATCTATTCTTCTTTATTTTCTGCTTTCTGCACATAGTCTTGAGTAAAAGTTATTTTAGGAGGAGGTTAGGCTTTTCAGAGAAGTCATTATTTAAGTTTCTCTTGAGAAAGTCCCGAAAATCCAGTTTGAAACATTTCAGCACAACTCTCACCTTTCTAGTGAGGCGCCTCCGTGTCGTTGTGGGCTCATCGCTGCCCCCGCAGACCAGAGGCCCACACTGACACTTTACGTAGGTGAGAACACGAATAGGTTAAAAGATGAAAATCTGGGGGTGTGAAGTTAGAAGGAAGTGATTTTATCAAACCTCTATCCCTCACTCTTCATCTCTGCTTCAGGTTAGCAGCTCAAAAGGCTCTATAGGCTGAGTTGCATTATGGGTAGTGTAGGGAAACCAGGATTAAGCATGGAAGGAATAAAAAAAAGATGATGTCTTGTCGTTTTATAACCAGTCTGACGATGTTCTGAGGTGTTTAAGTGATTGTTTCCCTGTGGACTATGGGAGTACATGCAGTACTCTGATACTGAGAAAACTAGATGAAGATAATGAGGCGAGATTTGAAGTAACAAGGAACATGGTACATGATGTCACAGCAGCATCAGAGTTCACTTTGACTCTAGAAACAGCAGCTGACAAGACCATTTCACCTCAAGGTCCATTTAAAAGCTTTTCTGGAGCTTTCAGTCACATCACGTTCCTCCTGAGCAGAAGAATACGTCCAAACACAAGACGGACTTATTGCAAAGTCACCACATACCTGAGCTGCTAGTTATTTTAGGAACAGGTTCGTTAAAGAATGCTATTACGGAAGTGTGCTGGGCTAAACAGGTGCTGCACAGCCGTAGTCTGACTCGCCGGATGAAGACTATGTCCACTATAGGTGCTAATTATAGGAAGCATTCTCTTCCTCTTCCACTTCCGGCCTGTTAACATTTTCAAAATCTTCACTATGGGGAAAAAAAACAAAATCCTCTGAGCTGGTAAGCTACGAGCTGAAAATGGCAAATTGAAAAACATGTTTCACTGTTTTTTTGTGGCGTTCTATTAAACAACGTTTCACTGGCCCTATAGCAGAAAGCTAATGGGGGCAGGCAGAGCCATTCCTCCAGCACTGACACAGCACTGTGGAGATAAGTCTGGTAATGCGAGACTAATACAGTCATGATCATTTAGGGTCAACAGTCGAGACTTGTCACCTTGTCTGTTCCACCCTGGCTCTCTGCCACCAGCCTCTGAAAGCTGTCCTCCTTCCTCCCCCCGGACTCTTTTTAAAGGAAGCATCCATTTATGCTCAAAGGTTCATAACCTTCTGCATACCAGACCCCGTACACATCGAACACTCCCCCAGACAATCTCACAGATGCTTTACATCCGTAATGTAATGTCTCTCAGCCTCACTCGGTTTCCATGATGCTCAAGTTTTATCTACTGAAGTCAGGCTCATGGCACAGCGCTGCGTTGGATTTGGAAGCTGTTCAGGGGAAAAGGGAGAAAGTGAGCGAGAGGATGGTGGTGCTGAGAGAGAGCAGGCCTCAGTGGAGATTGTGTGACTACGTTACTGTAATCGTTCAGAGATTCAACAGCATCCTTTGGGTTCCGCGGGGAAATTCTGTACAAAGAGACTGAGATCACATCCTCCTCGCACAGAGGAAAGAGGCCGGAGACTCAGAAGTGATATTCACCCGTGTACGGGGGGGGGGGGTTGAATCACTGGCTGGTTCATGGAAGACAAACTAAAAGGAGCACGATAAGAGAAAATCCCTGAGGAGATGGTGCCAGATAGCGAGCAGTGCTCGTTCAAGGGTTACAGACGGGGGAGTCTACGTTCAGACGCGATACTGCAGTTTGATTATGTAATGGAGAAAAGGAAAACGGATATGAAAGCAACTCACCCTGTAGCACTAAGGGGGTTAAAATTCCCACAATAAAACCATATTGATAGATGCCACCAGGCAGGAGAAAGGACACGCACTCGGCAATTTCCTGTATAAAATGCACACGGTCTGTGAAATGAAATAACCCCTGAAAGACGCCCTGCCGCTGTAATTCTCTGTCTTCTCTGATACAAAACGATGGATGTGGATTTTAAGGATTATATTGTGCAATACATTAGTATCAGTTTCCATTCACAGGAACAGGAGATGGTACATGCACTATCAACGAACACTGTAAAGCCACAGTTTCTGCCCAGCTGTTCACATCTGGCACCGATACACAACAAGGTTCAGATTTCAGATTTCATAGTAACGGTCAATGAACTCTGATACAGAGTTTGTTGACCTTTGTGCTTGTGTGGTGGACACTGATATTTTGATCTTTCTTTTTTTAAAACAACATAATGGAATGAACACAGGGAAAATCTATGAAGTCAATTCAGAAGCCATGTACTGGACGTTTTTAGCCCCACCGAGTGCATGACGTGTTTACATGAATGGACTGAGCAGCAAGTGACCTCCAACCTCAGGCGATGACAGTGACGTCTCATTAGTTAGACAGAGGTGAGTCTGCATGAGTCCACACCACTGCCCACTTCTATTATTTCTCCATTTAATGGCAGAATTGTTTTTTAATTTAGAAAATCCTGCATTTAACTCCAAGCTAGAAAGGAGGATGCAAGAGGCTGGGCCCGTTTGGAATTCCAATATCTTTAATCAAGTAATCGACAGTTTGTTTTATCATTTAAGTTCCCGCTCTTGTTGGCATGAGACACTTTATAAAAAGGTTTCTGGCTTTTCACAGGTTGGACGGGGAGGTTGTCATTATGGTAGCTGTTAAATTAAAGATTTAAAATATATTTTTAATACAGAGGGGGAAATAAATGTAATTTTCTCTAGCAGGGATCAGATTTTTTATTGTCTCACCCTGTTATGAGAATACTTGGCTGATTTAGCATTTCACTCCTAAAACATTGTCAGAAAGTTTTAAACACAAAGGATCAGGACCAGAGATATTGTTATTAGTCTCATGTGTACATAATGTGAGCGTTGAAAGTGCGACAGTGCTGCGGTGTTACTCAAGTGTCGTACTGACCTCAGCGTGGCCTCCGGCGTTCAGGAGCTTGTTGCACCGGTCGCACTTGAGACACAACTTGTGCCAGTCTTTCCCCAGCGATGACACTTTTTCAGCTGAAAGACAAGAGACAAGAGGCAGAAGAATGAGTTCACGTTAATTCAAATAAAGCAGCGTTTATGTACTTTACTCAGTTGTGTCGGGCTTTGTATGCGTGATAATGTGCCGTTCAATCGCTCATCTCAGAGTGGAATGACGTCCCCTCATTGCCTCACTCGCCACAATAACGATTGGCTTGTGCGCTGCATCTCTGAGCCGCTGAGCCTCGATGGAAATCCTGTCATCGTACCAACCGACTGATTGTTTTCTGGTGGGGTGGGGGTGGGGAGACTGGGAATGCCTGTGTACCACACAGGATGCCGTCGTGATGTCATCGTGGGATAGACAGACAGTGGCGTGAGTCCCAGTCCAGCTGGAGCAGTGGGGGGTGCCCACGTCTAACCCAGATCCTTTGTGTTACCCCTCCAAACAAACACACCCATCCCCCAGTTTACAGTAAACCCCCTTTTCCCTGCAGACAGCCCCGCAACCCCATTTCCGTTCCTTTTTTCTCCAGGCGACTACAGCGACCGCCCCTCCAGACAAGCAAAGGACCCTAATTATACACTCTCCAATAATAAACCTCCGCTGCTTCCACACAATGGGCCCTGAGGAGTCGTGCAGGCAGCGGAGGAAACACCTTCTCTTATCAAGGCATGGCACAAATAGCAGGATGCTGGAGTTGGTTTCCTACACAAACATATGCATACACACGTACAGAATGTATGCAGATGATTTCTTCCTCTTTAGAGCAGCATCAGGAAGCATATTAAATCATACCTGTCAGATTTGAGAGACAGCTGAACAGAACCAGTCTCGCATGAGTCTTTATCATATAAGACCTTAAAACCAATCATGTTGTGCGCATCATGTGGAAAATGCTTCTCAGCAACTCTGAAGGAAATCCGACGACTCCCTGCAGAGACGTGTTTACTCTCCAAACAGCTTCACTGTCACATCCCCCTGATTATTACAACACTGAGACAAATGGCTGACAACAAGACCCTGAAGGAGAGCTGAGGATGGGGGTGTGAGGTGAAGGGTGAAGCGTGGGGGCTGCTCATCAACACTGAAGAGCAGGGGAATGCTGAAAATGTTTAATCTCTGTAAACGATATTGTTATTCAGAGTAAAGGCCTTTATTAAATCAGTCTGTAAATCAATCTGCTCTTAAATCAGAGAACAGGCAGAATTACAACCAGACATCACTAGAGTTAAGAAGAACTCGCTAATGAAACCAGAAATCATTGCTGTCACATGTGGGACATGCACAAAGCTGTGAAGTGCTGCTCATGCTATCTGCCGAGGGAATTCACTGCTGCTGGCACAAACACCACACGCACGCCGATGGATTTTTCTTCGTGTTGGGTGCTGAGTGATGCCAAAACGTTGCTGACCTACACTCAGCTCTGAGCCGGAACACATCTGCATAGAGAGAGGGCTGATGCTGCCGCTCGTGCTACGACTCCTTTTGGCTCGGTGTCACACTTTTAATCACTTCAGCTTAAATCTCTATAAATCACTATAAACACAAATACAACCATAGATAAAGTATAGAAGTTTTCATATCTGCAAACATAAACGCTGATACCGATGTTTCAGTGAAAGGCTCACATCTTCCCAAACCTTTAAACAGCTTCAGGTGATGTTCAACGACAGTATGTAGGAAAGAACAGTGACCTCCTGAATCTGAGGAGAACCATACACCTCCTCTTGACACCTCTGAGGTTAAAAATAGGCTGATGAATGGACCACAGGAGCTGGTGTGTATTCACAGTGTGTGTCTGTCACTGACTGACCCATGATTGTAGACACACCTCCAGACAGTACTGAAAAGTCAGTGTATGAATGGAAACAGACGTCAGAGCCTCCGGTGCATCCTCGTTCCTCAGTATATGACTGTGTCTGTGTGTGTAGTAACCACGTCCACAGTTTAACAGCCCCCTGTTTCAAAGGGCAGTTGTTATTGGAAGAGGGGTGAGCCTGTCTGTCTGTATTATGTGTTGTGGGAGTTATAGAGTGGGGGAGGTGGAGGGGATCTGCATCTGGCCCAGATGTTTATAACCCCAGCTCTGAGCCAGCCGCTGTGCTTATTATTCTTCATATAGCCCCGGCAGCTGATTTAAATCCACAAAGTATGTATTTGGGTTAACATCTTCACAGAGAGAGAGAAATCTAAACAAGCAAATTTAAAATTACGTAATGACTAAGAACTGAGGGACGGACATTTTTCTATTTCCCGAAATAGCTCACTTGTGGGTACAACTGAAGCGACTGAAATGCCACCACATCTTCCTCCATCCTCCCCCCCAACGACGTGAGGGTAAATGAACCCATTTGTGTAAACAAACACGCTCCCTGTTCGCAGGGACGTCTCTCCGGAAATTCACATTTACATTGTCAACATTGATGAGGATGTGCCAAATCCTTTTAGCCGAGCTCCCTCATGACATCCTGCAATTTGCCTCATTCTGAAGCGCACAACAAAGGATTCCCCTCATGCTTTAGTGGAGCTGCTTTGGAAAACCCCTTGTGAGGATTTAAAGCCTGATTTTGCTATAAACCTTTGATAGATATAGAAGAATATTTCAATTCCAATAATTCAATTTTTCCAGCAGGTGTGGGCCAACTGATGCCATAACATCTCTCCAAAATTAATTTTATAAACATTAACATAATTAAGACCTAACTGATCTCAAGACTTTAAAATTCGGATTATTGAATTTTAGATTTCAGATGTGTTTTCTGTTGGTGTACAATGATATTGTTAAATGATGCCACATTGCGCCAAACACAGAGAATAAAAGTGAGTTAAGTCTGTGAAGAACTGATTGAAACACGGATGATGTTTCTGCGGGAACAGAGAGCTCCAGGGGGAAAGAACTAGATAAAGTGAAACAGAGTGCTGGTCAGAGGTCAACACCAAAACCATATGATACCTGCACCACTGTAAGCTGCTTAACTTCATTTGTGAATTCCTGCTTTAAGCTCTTCATTCTGAGAATGACTTCTCTGACGGCATCGTCAATATGCTTTAAATCATTGAGGCCGCCTGCTGCTGCCGACTCCTCTCACTGATTCAGTCCCAGTGTTTACAATCGCTTGGTTTCACTGATGTTACCGAACATTAATCAAAGTCAAGGAGGCAAAGCTGAAATCACTTGACAGCAATTTTTGTAGAGCTTCTGTGCGACTGTCAGTCAGCTGAGGCCTCATCACTTTCAGTAGGAGTTTGTGATGAGATGTGATCTGAGTGAGCAGCAACAGAAAAGCAATAATCATGCAGAAATTGGTGTGTAAACTCCAAACACAACCACAGCTGGGGCGCTCCACTCGCCTCAACAAGTTGATCTGCAGCCAGGAAATTATCCAACAAGCTCAAGTGCAAAAAAAACCCTGACTTGACGCCCAACGAAAAAGGCAACACATTAGCTCTACAACCAGCTTTGCCCGGGCATGAAATTATGGGGCAACAACTCACAAATACAGCAAGATGTGTGGTTTGAAACCCCAAAGCATGAGGAAGTGATTAAGGAGCTTTTCTGTCACTAAATGAAAAATTGTGATGGTTCATATTTGAAATGGTCCATGTTTACACATTAAGCAGCCCTGATGCTTTTACTGGCTTCAAAATAGAAATAAAGTAAGAAAACAGCACAAATAAACAATAAGTGATGACATAACATCAGTTGTTGTAATTTTATTTTGGAAATTGTAGTCGTGGGGCATCTAATGAAAAGGCCAAAAACAGAAATCCAACATCAAATAGATTCAGCATCTCTGAAAACAAATTTGATTTTACAAAGATGAACGGACATCAGGGAACTTCAATCAGGCCGTGACTCGATTTAGTTTGTTTGTTCCGTTACGTGATGCACTTCTACTTCAGATTATGGAGAGTGAAACCAATTACAGAACATTAAGCAACAGACCTTAAACATGAGGTCTTCAGGAAGGAAACGTTATCGTCCCATTTCTCCAAATGACTTCATCGCGGCTGCTGAATTGTCGAAGGTGACAGGACAGCAGCACCCACACACCTTTGCAGTTTCCCCTCAGGTCAGGAGGATGTTCTTCCTCTGTCTTAGTCCAAGTTTTAACAGAGCAAAAGTAAAAGTCCCTGAGCTACTTTCACACAGCTGAACTCCCAGAATGCAATGTAACAGGGGGTTGGGCTCTGAAATCTCATATGGGTGCTCTCTCTTATCGCTCAATAACTTGATCAGGGTGCAACGAGGGGGAAATCTAATGCGTTTGACAAAGGGGGATGAGAACGCTACCGCTGCAGGAGCTCGAGTCCACAATGAGATTAAATCAGCAACCACTGTGAAGGCTCCTGTTTCTGGATGTTTAACAGTTTTAAGAGAAGCTAAGATGTTAGACGCTTTAACTGAGCATGAGGATTGACTCAATCACGGATTTTATAACATTTTACAGGTTATAACTTCATCGGTTTGTCACAGATGAGGCGGATGATAACTTATCAAATCATCAGCTTCGGAACATTCATGATGTAACCACTGTTATTGTAAATATTTCTAAATCTCGCTTGGCCGGATTCTCTTCTGTTGCACCCTCTGGTAATGTGGACCCATCTGCTCTGCATTTCCCACAATAAACCCGTCCAAAATACACACAGACACACACACACACAACACTCCCTCTCATTCCCTCCATCCGTCAGTGACAGCTGAGTCCAAGCGGGTGTTTTGCTCCTTTGGCATTTGTCACAGCAGTGTGATAACGACACGTTCTAATAAACACCGTGCACCTGACTCAAAGTGCAACTTTCTCATGGCACCAAAGGCAAAGCAGGAGTCAAACTTGTGTAGCGAAAAACCAGGTTCGTATCTCTAGAGAAATGCATGAAAGGAAAAAACAAGCCGCCTGTGTTTCCTCCTCTGCATCCTCTTACTATTCTGCTCTCTGCAGCACAAACTCCCTCAGGATTTGTGCACTTTTCCTTAACGTAAAGACAATAGGCATTCAGTAAGGCGCAGGGAACTTCGACCTGACAGAGGGGAAGTGACTGTAAAGGAATTTTTGGCGGAAACTCATTCCTCATTCATCACTCATTCAGTTTTTATTGTTTTATTGAGTTATGTAATTGTACTTTTCATATCAAAATCTTGAGTTACTTTCAAGAGGCAATGTCAGAGAATTTGAAACATTTAGAATCCAAAGCCTAAATTGGTTTAATGCTAAAAACAGATGTTTGGCTTCATTTTTGTCAAATGACTGATCATCTTAACACTACTGTGCAGCAACTGTTTGACTTCAAAACAACTGCACATGATTATTAATCCATCCAAACTTGATTTATGAAAAGGGAGTTTGGGATTTTTGGGATTCTGCTTGCTCTGTGTTAAAAGTAGGTTGACCCCATCAGTGATGTGAACATTAGAATTGATTTGTACAGGGTCAATTTGTGCATGTGGTTTCCTGTGGTGCTCACACTGACTGTGCAGGGTTGAGCCCGATGCTAAAGAGCCTCGAGGAAACATGCCTCTGGATCCGTCTCTCCCTGTGGCTGATGCAACGCTGTGGCAAAACTTAGCACTGGAGGTCGTCTGTCGCCTCAACCAAGGCGAGGTTTCCTCCCGAGGCTTTCTCCCTTTCTCTCCTCCCCAAATAAAAGAGGCCGACCTTGTGAATCCTGCAGACTGACGCAAATGGGCTGCAGTTAACTTGCATCCTGTCTACGCTGGTCAGAGGAGCCGCAGGCAAAGCGCTACTCCACACTCCCAGCTTCTGTGACTAGTTCGCCCTCCCTGAACCCCTGAGCCTGCTTGCCCATACACCTCATCTCTTCTCTCACCGCATAGGACAATGTGTCCCAGCTACAGGGACTTCAAAAAGATCTAGTGTGCATGACTTGCTCACAGAGTAGTGGACCATGTCTTCAAAAGAGGAAGCCTGTTATTGGTATAAGAGATCTTCAGATGTAGCCTATGGAAATTGGATTATCATCCATGGAAGAGTAGACATCATATGACAGGAGAAAAAAAAGCGTTCAGAGCTTTCTCTACTCAAAGTAAAATCATCTGAGTCTTGTAAAGTGCTGTAATAAAATTAACTGATTCTACATGGGAGCACGGTGTACTGGACCTGCTCCCTTCAAAAGAGAAGAAGAAAAGAAACTCTGACGTTAGAGTTTAAGATTTCACAACTGTGGTGATATTGATGCGTGCTCTCCAACAATACCATATGCACAAATGCATTCAAATGACATTTGTATTAATCAATCTGCAGAATTAAAACGCTGGGTGGTGTCTCTTGTTGCATTTCAATCTCTTTATCACCAATTTGTTTTGTGTTTTAAACTTTAAGTAAGAACCTTTGTTGCCATGTGCAAAGTGTCCAAGAAATAACTTTTGGAACCGATCAGTCTTTGGAATGAAGCTGAGGTGTGCCAACTAAGAACTATGCTCTTGCCGTGTGAACACACAGTGAAAACAGAGTCTACCCAGTTTTTGCTGAATGCTGGCTTTCTGCAGAGGACGGTAAAAGCTTTGTGGATGTTTTAAAGGCCCTCTGACCTGGGCGATTTCTTCCAGTGATGCTGATGGTCAGTCTGTGCTAGAGACAAAGAGAAAGAGAGAGAGAGTGCTGCAAACAGCTCTACAACAATTTTGACAATAAAGTTATAAAAGTGTAAATCATTTGGATGAACAGTAAACGACCAGCTTTGTTCTTTGCTGTTGTGTAATAGGTCATATCGCTGTGAGGTGGAATGGTTTCACCTGGGTTGGGGAGGTAAGGAGGGGGGAGTCTGACTTTCAGCACCAGGCTTAATGCCACCTCCATTAGGGGGATCATATTTGTGCCTCAAAAAGGCAGAGATAAAGGACCCTCATTGAATGGTGCACAGTAGCTGGCAGGTTATGCAACGAGACCAAACAGGAGGCAACGACTCAAGAAATGATGTTACATAACTGACGAGGCACATTCACACAGCCCACTGGGCAGCCAAGTGGAAAACAGGGTACTCTAGTGTTGACAGAAGAGAGGGGGAAGAGAAAAGGGTATTGTGTGGATGTTTGGGGTAAAAGAGGGATAAAAAAAGGAGGTGTGTGTGGGAAACACTACACCGCTCCGTATCACGAAGCTGAGAGGGTGACGGTATTCTGCCTCACTGGAACGGCAAACGTGCACCGAGACAGAAAGAGCCCTCTGTGAATAGAGATGTCGTTTCTCATTATAATGCATGAGGCGCTCTGAGAGTCTCCGTTTAAAGCCATCTCGGCCCATTTGCCCCCGGTCCTTGTAGTTGGAAAAATAAAACCAGGGGAAGAGGAATTCAGGGCCCGAGGCACCAAGTGACTGATGAGGAGGAAGGAGAGTAAGAGGAATCTGTGAATGAAAGAGAAACTTGCAGCAGAGAGCACCATTACTTCACGATAAGTTCTCCTGTTTATTCACTTAGCTGGAAAAAGATAAATTGCCCCTGTTTGTCATGCACAAGGGTTTGGATCGCTCTGATTGATTCAGGTCTGGATTTGGAAGATTTTGTGAGTCCATGCCGTGTTGTGTTCATGGACTCTCTCTCACACGCTATCAATGTATTTCCACTGGGCCTGGTCACAAGTCAGCCAGTGGTCCCTGGTGTATTATGAGCACATCCGCACCACAACAACAAATAGAAGCAAGGCCACAGGATGGACGTTAGGCATTTTAACACGTCAGACGCTTCAAAGTCAACCAACAGTCAAATTTCCACTTTACTGCTCATTAAATTGAACCGTCACATCTATAAAAAACAGCCGCACGTTAAAGTAACAATCGGAAAATAATGAAATCAAAAGTATTTCCATTCGAGACTGTGGCTCACCGCCGCCATCTGATGTTTTTTGCATAAGTAAAGAAGAGGAGAGTAAAATCCAATATTGGCCGACACCAGCTGGAGGACCAGGTGGGTAACTGCAGGGTGGGCCAATCACCGCTCTGTATAGCAAGCACACCAAGAACCACCGACACAAGAAGGAAAAATGTGAGACAGACAATTTTCTTTATCAATAACACATGTCCCGGTGAAGATCAGATGCAGGGAGCTGGTGCCTGTTTTCTCACTTCTGTTCTGCAGACTTCCTCCTCAGTGGCTGAGAGGAGGAGGAGGATGTATGTAGGAGCTGCTGTGCTCATTCTGCAATATCTGAAAATCCATCACTGACATCATGCTGATGCTTCAGGGTACTGGGCAGCACTCAGACTTGAGTCTTTCTCCCTCCCCGACCTCTCCCATGTCTCGTCATCTGTTTCCCAGACTTAAAATTGTATATTGTCATCAACACGTGCCTTCACTTCCTATCTCCTCCCTGATTTCACGTGGGCCGGCCAGTTCCACCCATGCTGCCTCACAGCAGCAGCTCCTCATCTTCTCAGTCAACTCAGCTCAGGGCGCTCTCCACCCAACAGGACACACCCGGACCAAAAATAACTCTGGGCTGGATCTCAATACGTTACATAAAAACAACATACATCACAGAAAAGCTGTGACTCACTCGCTGCAGAGAATTAAGGCTGCAGCACACACCAACACTCAGAAATGCATAAAATCAGAATTGTAGGAACATTATTGTTATTTGTGCAGAATTGATATCGTTCCACGCCAGCGACTCTGGGGACCCACGGGATGAGCAGCAGCTGTGATGTGCACTGTCCCTTCCGTTACGTAAGAGGTCTTCCATCCACTCACATAATTGATTTTGACCCCTGTGACAGCACTGATGAAGTGAAGCGCTGTGAAGTGTAGAAAAGATCAGCGCAGAGGGAGGGATTTATTTTTGGGGCCCAAACATAAACACAGGATTACTCAAGGTTCAACGGGACCACAGCATGTCCCCCCTAAAATAAACGGAGGAGGAAGCAGATTAAAAAGCAGCGCCGTAATTTTTTGTTTATTATCACAATCTAAGCTCCTTTAATCTTCCTCTTTCATCTGGTCTGTGTCCACTTCTCTCACTGTAAACATCTGTTACAGGAGCTCTGACGCCATTTTCCTCTCTGTGACTACAGGTGTGTCAAAGCTCTTCCCCCGAGTAGGTGTTTTGTTTTTCTATTCGTCACCTTTTAGCAGACAAGGATGCAAGAGATGTGTGTTTACAGTGTTGTCGTCCCACTGACGCGACGTGATGTTGCTGTGCTCCTGTGAGAGTGGGAAATCTCAGCATATGGCATCTCTGCACTCTTGGCAGTGGCTCTCATCAGCAACCGTCCAAAGCCAACTGCCGGGCTTGGATGTTCACCAAACACAACAAATTAAAAAGCGGCACAGATCGGTGTCAAGATAACACGGATCACTCGTCCAGTTTTTTGTGAAGATAGAAGAGAAAGGGGAAGTTCAGCTTGATAAAATATATTTAACTGGGTTTTAAAGAAGTGAAAATTGGTTTAAACATTTGCAAAAGAGGACTTCTGTTTATATTGATTCCTTTGCCCCTGCAGCTTTTGGTCCTCCCATAGTTTGTCTCTGTGAATCATTGACATCACAAGAGACTCTTTACCTAAAATAACCACAGGAGAGTGTTGAACTTTACTTATGTAAGAAACTCCAAGAAAAATGTGGGAATGGTTTGAATTTTTTTCCACCAATGGACAAAAAGCCTGAAGTAATATTGAACTGCATGGCTCCAATATTCACACGACCTACGTTTTAACTCATATTGTTCATAAACAGCCAAAGTGCATGTTTACATCCGGAACTTCACTTGAAAATGTCATTTTAACTCTGAATTCATCGAGTTGTGCACTTGTATTTTATTTCCCAATGAATGAACATTTCCTGCTTGAGCTCTAATTACAATCATTACTCACAACATTTAGATTTTACGTCACAGAACACGTGTAAAAACAAGTTGCACTAGAGCATCGATGGTCAGTGTGTCTGAAGTTAATGAGCATCACGAGTAAAAGTGATTTCACCGACACACAGCGGCCATTACTCACCGAAGTACACCGTCTTGTCGCACTTGGGACACTTTGACGCCATGGTGGGATGTTTGTGTGTCGAGTGAAAGTGAGTCTGCGTGTTGTCTCGTCCTGTGTCTCCTCTCTCCCGCAGCGAATGTCCCGCTCCGCTCTGCTCCCGCAGCATCTATTCACGCAACGGCGGCTCATTAGCATGGCTCCGCCCCTCCCCCCTGCCTCCGCGCCTCCTCGTGTCTACTTCAAGTGCCGTGGGGAAATTCAGTAGCCGGAGTGCAGCTGTGGCTGTGTCTGGAATAACTCAGTAGTGATGAACCTCTGTGAAGTTATTGAAGTCTGCTGCTCGTCAGTGGTGATGGAACTTCACAAAGCATTGAACTACAGCCACGTTCATCACTCTCATCACTCTTCTTTTAAATTATATTTTAACGTGTTCTTATGTTATTTAAAATCTGTTCTCTTATATGAATTACATTTTGCAATCATGTTGTTCTTTATATTTTGTATGTCAACACTTTGAGCTGAATTTATTGTATGAAAGGTGCTATAAAAATAATGTTTATTATTAAAATTAATTAAATGCGGAAACCCAACCTATCCCAGGATTCATTGTGCTTCATTCATTGTGCTTCAGCAGATAGCTTAGATAATTTAGATAGTTCTTTAGTTTGGTTTAATTAGTCATTTGATGCTATATAATGAGTTAAACCTTCATGATCAACAGCCTCTCTCATTCTCTACACACTTATTTCCATCACTTTTCATACAAACTACCAGGCACAACATAATGAATGCTTTCGGACACATACCATCCACAAGCATGCGCCTTTACACCCTTTTATAAATGTTATAGTTTTGCCCTCTCTCCACAACCACAGGACTTTGAGTCTTGTCAGTCGGACTACCTTCCAAACCTTCTGGCCTTCAGACATGGTCAGATAACATAGTGGTTGACCTTATTTATATCAAACGTACCGTGGCCTTGAGAATCTCCATTGCTGTATTGTGAGTTGTAAGTTTTACAAGCTGCCTTGAAGGCAGCTTTTCTTTTCTATGTGGCCTGCCTGACTCTTTCATACTCAGTCCACACCAGGCGGGAAAGCTTGTGGGCCAGTAGCTGGGCCAGTCCACAGGGACACATGCACACCCATTTCCCTTTTTCCCCTTTTCCACAGGAGGAGTAGGCAGTGTTTGGTTGAATCACAATGCACCCTTTCAGAGTGAGTGACTCGTAGGAATTTGTTGGGCGAAGGAAGACGCTGAAACGTGGCTCGGGTGGATCAGCTTTCCCTGGAGAAGGGTTGTTGGCCTCATGACAGATTGGGCCTCCTGAGCGAGACAGGCGGAGCAGAAAGAAACAGCTCCTGAATTTCTCACAGTCCAGTTGCATTCACTTGAGATGACTAATTGAAATACTCATTGACTGGACATTATCAGCTCTTTCAGCAGTGTCTCGTTCCACTGGGGCGTCTCGTGACTGCAGTGGCTGAGTTCATCTCTTTCACACGTCAGTGCTGTCTGGTCTGTTTGCCTGGTGTGACACAGTGCAGGTCCCGGTCCAGGAACAGACACTCTGATATTTCCAACATCTGCATACCGGCTGATTAGCACCCGTCAGCCACCGGTTCCTCCTTATCTCTGAGTTCATTGTTTTAAAAAGAGACCGGTCTTAACGGACAGCAGGAGATTTAACAGCCTCTTTAGGGTAGAAAAACTGTGCAGTGGGCAGATTCTGGGGAAGCCTATCAGTTACAGTCATGGTTAGTTTGACCACATTTGGGAGGCTGGAGCAAAATGTACTTTTAGATATTAGGGTCCTATTGGCAAAAATATTGCACTTTTCGTCTTTTTCTTAAAATTGTAATAATTAAATTTATCAAAGATATCAGCCCCCTAAATATACCTTGTTTTTTCATCAAGATCCATGAATTATTCCGTGAAAAACATTTGAACGGTTACCTGGTTTGCATTGTTAGTAATCCAGCCTCATTTATACCAGTAAAAGATGTCTCACCCAGCATGCAGTTATACAATCTTTGCTTCACAGAGGACACAAGTTCATTACCGTTCACCTCCAGTTGTTTGCTGTGGTTGCAGGTTTATTGCCAGTTCAGCTGCTGCACACAGTCACACTCAGACCTGCTAAGAGAAGAGGAGGTCAAAGATATTACAGAGCGAAACGGAGACAAAGAGGAGGCAGGAGATTGAAACTGGAGAGGCACTGCGCTCAGTGAATATCTGGGATAAAGATGAAAGCATGGGAGTACTACTCTCACTCTCTGACACATGAAACATTTATGTGACGATGAAAAATAAAAAGGTACTATCAGCAAACCTTCCCCTGAAAAATAGAGTTTAAGAATCTAATATCTGTCTTTTCAAGGTGAAAAATATTTGGAGCAAAAGTGAATTATATGTGAGGGGAGTTTTACAAGGAGTGTGAGAAATCCCACGGAAACTTAAGTGGACATATCCAGGCCACTAGTTTTACTTTGAACGTGTTTCTGATCTGATGTTTGGTTCAGATCAAGCATCCAACTGCTCAGGGGAAAAGACGGGAATAGACAGAAATGGGGGGAGAGGGAGAAGGGTGAGGTGGTCTCATGGGTCTGAATGGATGTTGGCACAGTTACTTTTATAGACTTATGATAAAACAAACAAGGACAGAGCAACTACATGACAATGTGACACATGGTAATCTTTTCTTAATCAGAAAGCATTCTTAAAAGGACATGTCACCAGATTTAGAAATAAAAAATGGGTTTACTTTTTACTAAAAAGATTTATTATGAAAGGTCTTAGAAAATATCTTGAGTTCAGCCTCAGATTTATTACAGAAACATTGTGTTTGGGGACACAGGTCTTGATATTTGTGAGTGTTTATGGGCAGTAAGCGTTTATTGAAAGACACTACTGAGATCAAGCATTAAGGTAATTGTAGGATCCATTGTTTTTGGAGGAGGACCCATACTTTAGGATAAAGATAACTTAGATCTGTTTCCTGCAAGTGACTCAGCTTCATTAAAGTATAATAGTAAAATGCCGAAATACCCTTTAAAATATTTACGAGTCTGGTTACTTTGAAGCATCATCCTGGTTTTTCTATAACAGCATCATTCTAGTTGAATCCAACACCAGTTTAAATTCAATAAACAACAGTTGTTGAACAAATTTATGAACTTTTTGAAAATTACCCATCACATCCACATCAAAATTTCAGTTCTTTCCAGGCCCGGGCTCCATCCCTCCACTTCGTTTGGAGGAAATTGGGTTTGTAGTTTTTGTATAATTCAGCCAACAAATCAGTCCAGGTATCAGAGAGGTGTTTATGGATTCAACCTGCACACCCGTCCTGAACACAGCCTCAAGGCCTCAAGGCCAAACTGGTACCAAAGCTGCTTTTGGCCCCAGACAGTGACAACCCAGTTTCTCTACCTTCAGCGTCCTCTGTTGCCCCCTGTCCCTCACACCCCCCATTACACAGACTCACACATTCAGGCTTCACAGATGCAATAATCCACAAAAGCCACGTCACACGTTGTTTTCTGTGAGGAGCCCACATAGTGACCAGCCTGAGCCCAGCCCGGCCCCACAGCAGCAGGCTGCTCCTTTCAAGGAACAGGCACAAGTGCAGGAGTGAGGCAAGCAGATGATTTAGGTCTGATTGGAGGGTAGTGAGGCCTCTATTTAAGGAGTACAAGCACATCATTTTAAAGGCCTCACGAAGACAGCTGTGGAATTTTTGAATATGTGAGAACACACTGTTCATATATGGACGACACGTGATCCGCTGGCTGAGCATGTGTGTGTCTTTGACTAAGAGAGAGAAAGAGAGAGAGAGAGAGGGTAAAAAAAGCCAGAATTAATTATTGAAATGTTCCCGTAGCGCTCACACTCCAGAGTGGTGATTATTTTTGACACAGTAGCCTATGTTTAGCTCTGCTTGGAGACAGGGCGGAGATTATAACATTCACAGATGATAAGCTAGAGGTTGGGTGATGGACAGACGGAGTGGGCAGTGAGATTTTAATGGACAGATACTGTATCTTGCTTGATAAGACTGAGAGACAGGATTGTCTGTCCTCTTTTTGCGTGCCTAATAAACCCTGTGTTCCGTGATCCTGTATCACTTGAGTACTTACTAATAACTTGTTTGTCTAAATGCTGTGCAGTACAAGATGCTTGTGTAAAGTGTATGTGTACAAAAAGTAATAATCACTATCAAATAATTTAGAGTAAATTAAAACCAATATCTCTGCACACTGCGTTATACTGCATAAACAAAAGGCCTCATATTGCATCCATGTGAATTATATATTCATGTACATATACCATTATAAGAAACATACATATCTATACAGCAAGAATGGGTTGATTGTAGAGTGGAAATATGCACTGTATAAATAATGCCTCCAACAACATTATGATTTCAAGTTTTTTGTCCATCCCGCTCTCATGACTGCAACATCTCAGGAATGCTTCAAAGGGAATGTCTTCACATGTGGATTAAACGTTCACTTGAACTCAATGAACTGATCAGAGGTCAAAGGTTAGAGTCCCTGTGACACATTTTCTTTGCCTTGAGGAGGTTAAACACTGAGGATCTGCCTACAGATTTGTCAGAGATGTTCACTAAGACTCAAGATGAACTGATGTGACTTTGGTTTTCAAAAGGTCAAAACACATTTTTGTCTGTCACGCATGATCTTCTATGGAAATTATGACAAAATATACTTAGTGCCTTTTATTAAATTCCTCCATAGCCTTTTAATATCATGCAGTGTTTGCTTTAGCCCACTTTGGCAGGTGAACAATCCAAAGTTTATGAAATGCTTGAACGTCTCAAAGTGATTCATTAAATCCAATTTCACAGGAAGATGTTGTGAAACGATTTGTCCCGATATTCATCAACTACCTGCCTAAATTAGGCTCCTGTTTGTTTAAGTCCCTCCTCAGGTCTACACAACACATCCAGCCTCAGTGATCTCTTCATCACACACAGACGTAACCCTGGGCAGCTATCACATTCAGTCTGTGGCTCCCATGCAGTATTTCTTTAAATGCAGTAAGGAGAGAGCTCCTGTGTTTTCTTTAGCCATGGACAGTCAATTTTGAAGTATTTCTCCCCCACTGGGACTGAAATGACGTTAAGAATCCACTGAATGCCATTTTTAGTGATGTGGGTGTATTGTTTTACTTGGCCAATGG